CAATCTTCTTCATATTTTTTCGAATGGGTATGAGTGGATGGAAATTTCTCGATTCACCCTGAATGGATCGGTTACATTTGAGGGAATTTAATCTCTAGCAAAGTGTGTTAATATAGGTGAGTTATGCATGCCAATAAAAAAATGTGAAGTAGAACCCCATTTCTTTACTTTAAAATAATTAAATAATAGATACTTAAACCAGACATACTAATTTATTACGCAGTATTCTCGGTCATAAACTGTTTGATGCAACTTTTTTCTAAAATAGTAGCGTATATGCTTCAATTCAGGTCAACCTCAAAGTATATGCATCTTTATAAAGCAATACTAACTCATATTCATGCAAAGCTGCCCTAAAATCTTAATTTTCATATATATAACTACGCCTATACATTTTGTTCATGTCTAGTAAATTATCCCAATTACGATGCAGGGACTATGACGCCTCAAGAAATTAAAGATGGATGCTGACTACTCCCAACTAGTTGCGATGAGAATATATGTAAATATATTTAACTCACGTTTAAATGGCTGAAGTAATGGACGTAGCATAAACCGAAATTCTCTGTAATTGAAATTGACTGACTACTTTGTAGAGTACTGCATAATTTGGGTTTAATGAGATAAGCTAGATTAATAATAATTACTCTTGTTAAAGATTAAGTATTGCACTCTTATATTTAAAAGAATTAGATTTTCAAGAAAATTAACTTATTTATTTAAAATTCCGTATAAAGTATTCACTATGTAAAATTTTGTAAAAATTTTTCTCATCCTCTCGCCTTTGCTAACGCATTGATGACGGCTTCAACCTTAAATAGCAATTGCATACCTTCCATCATTCCATCGTGCGTGTACGGAAATGATTTTCTCTCCCTAACTCAATGCACACTTTATTTTATATTAATGTCTTAAAGTCGTTATTCCACTTACTATAATAAGTAAATTGTCTTCGTATCTTGACCTTGTCTCAATATTCAATATCTCAGTGCAGCTTCTTATTATAATAATTCCGTAACTTTACGCCAAGCTTTTACACTATTTCCTTATATTGCTGAGCCTACTTCGATTATCCTGGAAATTAGCCTTTATTAGAGCTGGATGTCAGTAAAGTCTAAAAGCCTGGTTGGAAAAGCCGCGTTCTCAGATATTAATCTATTCAAGCACAATATTCACTTGTGCCGTCCAGCTTTTAGAGCAAGATAGCATGTGCTCATACAAAATCAATTTTTAAAAATTATCTGCTTTTCTTTACTAAGGCTATCAAGAATCACCAGGCATAGTGGAGCCAAGCTTCTTTATTTATTTACCCTAACAATAATCTGAAACCGGTAGGCCTATCAGCCTAACCGTTATAGCAAATTTTTCTAC